CTAAAAAAACAAGGCAGGAGATTTAAATACCTTACCACCCCTTATATACAAAAAAGTGTTCACAGTGCTATCACCAATCATTGCAACACTCTTTAACAAATCCATTGAATCCTCCACCTTCCCTACAGTACTCAAAATAGCAAGGGTCACCCGATCCACAAAGGAGGAGACCAAACAGAGTTGAATAACTATAGGCCAATATCCAACTTACACCCTCTCTCAAAAATCTTCGAAAATTAATTCATAAACGAATCTACTCCTACCTTATCTCCCAAAACATACTCAACCCTGCCAATTTGGATTCAGGCCTAATAAAAATACTAATGATGCTATTATACACATGCTAGAAACATATATACACTGCAATAGAGAAAAAAGAAGTCCCACTGGGGATCTTCATTGACTTACGTAAAGGCTTTTGATACAGTTGACCATGACTTGCTCCACGGGAAAATTGTCACACTATGGTATAAGAGGGCACTCCTCAACTACCTCAAGTCTTACCTCAGCAACAGAAGCCAATATGTGTACGCAAATGGGGCAAACTCTTCTGCACAACCAATTACAGTTGGTGTCCACAGGGAAGTGTCCTTGGCCCTCTTCTCTTTCTCCTATACATAAATGACCTTCCAAATGCTTCGCAATTACTCAAACCCACACTATTTGCAGATGACACTACATATGTCTTCTCTCACCCGAGCCCAGTCACGCTAGCCAATACTGTAAATACCGAATTACAGAAAATATCTACCTGGATTGAGGACTAACAAACTTACACTAAACATTGACAAAACCTACTTCATTCAGTTTGGTAACAGAGCTACAGATGTCCCTCTTAACATAATGATAAATGGATCACCTATCACAAAACTAACAGAGGGAAAAATTCTTAGGAATCCACCTTGATAATAGACTCAAATTTCATACACATATACATCAAATTTCTAAGAAAATTTCCAAGACTGTAGGCATACTATCGAGATACGGTACTATGTTCCACAGTCAGCCCTCCTGGCCCTATTTCACTCTCTTATTTACCCCTATCTCACCTATGGAATTTGTGCATGGGGCTCAACAACAATTAACCATCTCAGACCACTAATTACCCAACAAAAGGCTGCAGTTAGAATGATAACAAATTCTCACTACAGGCAGCACACTCCACCAATATTCAATACACTAAACCTACTCACCATACAAAACATCCATACTTATTACTGCACCTATTACATACATAGAACACTTAACTCTGATATTAACCCTCCCCTCAAACATCTCCTTGCCAACCTCAACAGAACACATGACCATAACACAAGGCACAGATCACTCTTTGATGTTCCTCGTGTCCATCTCACACTATGCAAAAACTCAATGCACATAAAAGGCCCTAAAATCTGGAATTCATTACCTGTAAAAAATAAAAGAAACACAAACCCGTTTATAAATTCAAGTCTCTTCTCAAAGATTACTTACTCACCCAAAACCAAATAAAATACTGAATAACTGAACAAATTTTAAATTGTATATCTTAAATGTTTCTCACAATTATATCACATAAATGTTAAACCTAAAACCCCAAACTAACTTTATTATTTTTTAAATACACTACCTAACAGAATCACTACCTAACTGAATGCAACCATATGACCTGTCTTTGTAATACTCACTTGTGCTTTATAGTTATCTGTTTACATTAATGTTTTATCACTGATTTCATCATTGCTTAGTAGCAGCGCTTTATAGTCCTTGTGGCTTAGCGCTTCTTTTTGATTATAATAATAATAATAATCATTGCTTAGTTAATCTTAAGTTAATTTTAAGCCAGCCCGTAATGCTATGCATAGTATAAGTGGCTTTGGCATACTGCTCTTATCTGTATTTTTTTTTTTGTACCTCTGTATGTGTGCACAAATTGGAAATAAATAAATAAATAAATAAATAAAAAATTAATCAAGCTATGCTTATCGAGATGGCTTCTTATAATCTTAGCTATAATTGACTCTAGTAATTTGCCTACAATTGAGGTCAGGCTTATTGGGCGGTAATTTGACGGTAACGACTTGTCCCCTGTTTTAAAAATAGGAATTACATTAGCCATCTTCCACATATCAGACACTACACCTGTTTGAAGAGATAAATTAAACATATTAGTTAATGGTTCAGAGTTCCATTTTGCATTCCTTAAGAACCCTTGAAAAAACCTCATCAGGATCCGGCGACTTATTTTGCTTCAGTCTGTCTATCTGCTTCACAACCATTTCACTAGTGACTGTGATGTTACATAATTTATCTTCTTCTAGCCCACTATAAAAATTAATTACTGGAATATTGTTAGTGTCTTCCTGTGTAAAAACTGAGAGAAAATAATTATTTAAAATCGAGCACATTTCATTCTCTTTGTCAGTAAGGTGCCCATAGTTATTTTTAAGGGGACCTATCTTATCTCTAACTTTTGTTCTATAGACCTGGAAAAAACTTTTTGGGTTAGTTTTAGAATCCCTAGCAACTTTAATTTCATAGTCCCTTTTAGCTTTTCTTATCCCCTTTTTATGTCCCTCTTAATGTCAATATACTGATTCATAAGATGACCCTCACCTCTTTTGATACGCCTATAAAATTCCTTTCTTATGCCCTAGTAGATATTTGAGCCTATTATTCATCCATTTTGGGTCATTTCTATTTGATCTAATTTCTTTATATGGGATAACGTTCTTTGAGAGCAGCATGTATAGTGTTCAGAAAACTGTCATATTGATAGCTCTCTTCGTTACCCAGTCAACAGATGATAAGTGTTCTCTAAGCCCATCGTAATCTGCTAAGCGAAAATCTGGGACTGTTACTGAGTTATCGCTACTATCGTACTTCCATTCAATGCTAAATGTAATTGATTTGTGGTCGCTAGCACCCAGTTCCTCTGAAATTTCTAAATTATTAACAAGGGATTCATTGTTTGCCATAACTATGTCAAGCAGGTTATTTCCCCTTGTAGGTTCTGTCACAAACTGCTTCAAAAAACAATCCTGAACTACTTCTAAGAAGTCGTATGATTCTAAATTCCCAGTCAAGAAATTCCAATCAATACGACTAAAGTTAAAGTCTCCTAGAATTACTACATTATCGAGAATGAATAAAGTAAGTCATTATGTATGTCACGAGGTGCTGTGTTGTATTGTTGTTGGGTGTATAAGGGCCACTGAGAGTAAGCTGTCCATAATGGTGAAGCAGCAGCTGAGGCGGCGGTGTTTTCTGTAGCCCTATATAACTCCAACAACATTGGAGGATTTGTAGATGAATGGTTCAGAGAAACCGACATGTTGATAAATTAGATACATGTGCAACTCTTGGGTATCTTTATTGAGGAAACGTTTCGCCACACAGTGGCTTCATCAGTCCATACAAAGGAGAATCTTGAAGAACAGGAGGAGAATGAGGTAATCAGTCCCTCAACCTTGAGTCGATGTGGTCAGTCCATCAATCTTCAGCACGTATGCCGCATTCTATTCAAGATTGATGGACTGACCACATCGACTCAAGGTTGAGGGACTGATTACCTCATTCTCCTCCTGTTCTTCAAGATTCTCCTTTGTATGGACTGATGAAGCCACTGTGTGGCGAAACGTTTCCTCAATAAAGATACCCAAGAGTTGCACATGTATCTAATTTATCAACATTGGAGGAGTTAGTAGAATTGCTGAATCACTGAAGAAGGCACCCTCTACCACCATCACAACCACTACCACTGTCTACCACCATCACAACCACTACCACTGTCTACCACCATCAATACCACCTTTCTACCACTATTACAACTGCTACCACCATCACTACCACATTCTACCACTATTACAACTGCTACAACCATCACTCCCACCTTCTACCACTATTACAACTGCTACCACCATCACTACCATCTTCTACCACTATTACAACTGCTACCACCATCACTACCACCTTCTACCACCATCACTACCACCCTATACCACCATCAACCACTATCACAACTGCTTCCACTCTACCACCACCACCACCACCACCTTCGTATTTTTCTACAAACTTTTTCTTAAATTATAAGTGTTTCTCACATTCTTTACCAAAGGGCTGGCACTAGAAGGTTTCTTTGGAGCCATGGTGACTTATTTAGCAGTTGCAAGCACTAAAACGAATGAAATATTATGAAATGTATCGTATGAACTCGTGGGATCATCCTCACTCACTGATAAACAATGGCACATTGGCTGGGAATGGAATGTGAGGCGGCTCGGGACTGTGTATACACATCCCAGACGAACGACGATTAGCGAGTCAACGGACCATTTGCGAGCCAATGTTTGGACGAAATAACACGACGATTTCCGAAAAGGACGACTATCGAGCCGGACTATTATCGAGGGACCACTGTATATGCTTGAACCATTTACAAGTCAAGTATGTCCTAGGTAGTAGGCTGGTAGGCAGCAACTACCCAGGCAGGTACTACTGTCCTTCCAAGTGAATGTAAAAAAGAAGCCCGTAATTGTTTTACAAGATGGTAAGATTGCTGGTATCTTTTTTCTGTCTCATAAACATGCAAGATATCAAACATCTTGCTACTTCTGCTCACACTTAGGTCAGACTACACGTGCATGTACAAGCATATATATACACACCCCTCTTTGTTTTCTTCTATTTTCTTATTAGTTCTTCTTCCTGCTTATTTTTTCTTATCTCCATGGAGAAGTGGAACAGAATTCTTCCTCAGTAAGCCATGCGTGTTGTAAGAGGTGACTAACATGCTGGGAGCAGGGGGCTAGTAACCCCTTCTCCTTATATATTACTAAAGTTAAAAAGGGAGACTTTTTCTTTTTGGGCTACCCTGCCTTGCAGGGATATGACTGGTGTGTTTAAAGAAAGAAGATTAAGTATGTTTTAATCTGCTCAAAATGCCTTACATTTTTGGGGGAAATAAAATCTGGTTTTGACCAGAAATGTTCTGTATGAAAATAACTGACAGATAAATAAAAACTTACTGTAATGTATTAATGCTGAAGCACTAAACCAGTGGGGTCAACCAAACCCTGGAGTAAGGTGTAATCCAAAGAAGGGAATGTACTAACCATGAGCGAGTTGACAGTCAAGAGTACATGAGGGTCTTGTAAGAAGGAGTACTGGTTGCGTGCCCATAAGTCAGCAGGAGACAACATGAGACAATTGTAGTGAGGGAGCACTTGGCCAGCAGACTGTATCTTCTTCACTACACCCTCGATGAGAAGACATTCTGTCCCCAATGTCACACTATTACTGAAAACAAGAATACATTGTACAATCCATAGATTACACAATACACAACCCACACGTAGGAGAGAGGAGCTTATGACGATTATTGGATTCGTCTTGGACCATTTAAAAAGTAACACAGTGACTCAAACATCATCGTAAGCTTCTCTCTCCAATGAGCGGGTTATTTATGTATTATTCCAGTCACGGTATTGTGCCTTTTTTTGTTCTTTACCTTCATAGTTAAATAACATAGTACAGCAAAAATGCCACAGTGAAAATAGGAAATGAAACCTGAGCATGTTCATGTGATTACACACTTTTCTTTTTTTTTTCAAGTCGGCCGTCTCCCACAGAGGCAGAGTGACCCAAAAAGAAAGAAAATCCCCAAAAAGAAAATACTTTCATCATCATTCAACACTTTCACCTCACTCACACATAATCACTGTTTTAGCAAAGGTGCTCAGAATACAACAGTTTAGAAGGATATACGTACATATAAAGATACACAAATCCCTAAAAACCGTCAATATCCCGAACCCCTCCTTTAGAGTCCAGGCATTGTACTTCCCATTTCCAGGACTCAAGTCCAGCTATATAAAAATAACCAGTTTCCCTGAATCCCTTCACTAAATATTACCCTGCTCACACTCCAACAGCTCATCAGGTCCCAAATACCATTCATCTCCATTCACTCCTATCGAACATGCTCGAGAACGCTTGCTGGAAGTCCAGGCCCCTCACCCACAAAACCTCCTTTACCAATTCCTTCCAACCTTTTCGAGGATGACCCCTACCCCGCCTGCCTTCCCCTACAGATTTATACGCTCTCCATTTCATTCTACTCTGATCCATTCTCTTTAAATGACCAAACCACCTCAACAACCCCTCTTCAGCCCTCTGATTAATACTTTTATTAACTCCACACCTTCTCCTAATTTCCACACTCCGAATTTACTGCATAATATTTACACCACACATTGCCCTAAGACAGGACATCTCCACTGCCTCCGCCTCCTCGCTGCAGCATTTACAACCCAAGCTTCACACCCATATAAGAGTGTTGATACTACTATACTTCCATACATTCCCTTCTTTGCCTCCATAGATAACACACCACTCCCCTTTTTTCCTCATCAATTCTATGTTTAAACCTCCCCTTTCTTTAAACCCATGCCATACTTTCAACCCCAAAAATATCTAAAAAACATTCACTTCTTCCATATCCCCCTCCCCAATTTGAATAATTTTTTCTTTACTAAATCTTGATACCCACACCTTTTCTCTTGTCTTTGTTCACTTTAAACTTTCTCCCTTTACACAACCCCCAAATCGCCCCAAACCTCGAAATTTTTCTTTAAAATTTCCCCCATAAGCACAGTATCATCACAAAAAGAACTGTCAATTCCCATTTTGTTTTTGTTCCCCAAAATTTAATCCACCCCTCTCAAAACACCCTGCTTTACTTCTTTTTAAAAACCCCATCTAAAAATATAATGTATTAAACAGCCATGTGACATTACAACCCCTTTCTAAGACCTACTTTACCGAAAGTAGTCTCCCCTTTTTTTTTTTACACCCCCCAACCTAGCCTCGCTATCTCAAAAAAAACTTTTTACAGCATTTAGTAACTTACCACCTTTCCTACACAGTGGACCCCCCGCCTTAGTATTAATCTTTTTCCTGAGAGCTCTCGTCAGCCAAAATTTTATCTTTAAAACCCGAATTAATTTTCCCCATAAGAAATAAGGGAAATAAATTAATCGTTCCTGACCCCTCAAATATGAAAAAAAAAAAATTTACAGAAAATATTAATTTTAATACACCAAATTAAGAAGCATGCACAATTACTAATTACTAAGAATAGAATACAGTGGCCCCCCGATGCGATTAAAAATCCGTGCAAGAGGGCGGGGCTGTTATGCGAAAGTTCGCTTGTGAATAAATTTTTCCCCCTTTAAAGAAAAAAGGGAAAATCAAATTAAAATTTCCGTGCAAACCCCCAAAAAGTTTAAAAAAAAAAATTTTCCCAAGAAAAATTTTTTCCTACCACAAAGAGAAGGATACATGCAAAATAGTAGAGTGTACATGCAAAATTTAATATTTGATGTACTACTCTACTAAATGAAGAATAAAGCACTTCCTTTATTGAAGACAGAAATGATGATGAGACACTGTGCCCCTGGGGGGCCTTTTCCCCCTGATTTCTGATTTTTTTTTTTTTTTTTATACACGGGCCCGATTCTCACCAAGCATGGGGGGGCCCGAAAAAGAAAAACTTTCACCATCATTTTTCTCCATCCTGTCTTTTCGAAGGGGCTTTACACAAGTTTTTAACTGCAACTTAACACCCCCCTTAGAGTGCAGGCACTGTACTTCCCATCTCCCGGGGTCAAGTCCGGGCCCGCCGGGGTTTCCCTGAATCCCTCATAAATGTTACTTTTCTCACCTCCAACAGCACTCAAGATTAAAAACCATTTGTCTCCATTCACTCCTTCAAAACCGCTCACGCTGCTGCTGGGAAATCCAAACCCCTCGCCCAAAAACCCCCTTTACCCCCCCCCTCCAACCCTTCCTAGGCCACCCTACCCCCCTTCCTTCCCCTACAGACTGATACACTTTGAAGTTATTCTGTTTCGCTCCATTCCTCTACTGTCCAACCACCCCAAAACCCTTCCCCAGCCCCTGGACAAAAAAATTTTGGGAAACCCGCACCTCCTCTAACTTTCCCAAAATTGAATTCTCTGCAATATTCACACCCACATTGCCTCAGAATGACTCTCCCTGCCCCCAGCCTTCTCCTCCTGCAACATTTTATACCCATGCTTCACACCATATAAGGGTTGGTAAAACTATACTCTCTACATTCCCCCTTTTTCCCCCAAGGACAAAGTTTTGTCCCACAACCCTAAGTGACACTCCCTTTTTCCCTCCAATTCAGATTCACCTCTCTTTTATAACCCATCCGCTGAAAGTCCCCTCCCAAAAATCTAATTCTTCACCTCCTCCCTACTCTCTCCCTCCAATCTGATTTCAAACTTTCATCACCTAAACTTTTTGTTATCCCATACCTTACTCTTTCCCGTATTCACCCTTTTTTTTTCTTCTTTGCACACCCTATAAATTTATCCCCCAAATTTTGCAGCTTTTCTTCGAAAACCCAAGGCACAGTGTCTCAGAAAGAGCGCGGGGACAAAATCCCACCCTGTGTGTGTTCTTTATTTTTAAATCCAGCCCCTTGCCCAAAACCTCGCATTTTTTCTTACAACCCCTCTATAAATATATTAAACAACCCCCGGTGAATCAACATCCTTGTTAAAAGGCCCACTTTTACTGGGAAAAAATTTCCCCCTTTTCTACATACTCTAACTTGAGCCTCACTATCCTCGTAAAAACTCTTCACTGCTTTCAGTAACCTACCTCTACACCTACACTTGCAACATCTGCCACATTGCCCCCCTATCCACCCTGTCATACGCCTTTTCCAAATCCATAAATGCACAAAGACCTCTTTGCCTTATTCTAAATACTGTTCACTTATATGTTTCACTGTAAACACCTGGTCCACACAACCCCTACCTTTCCTAAAGCCTCCTTGTTCATCTGCTATCCTATTCTCCGTCTTACTCTTAATTCTTTCAATTATAACTCTACCATACACTTTCCCAGGTACACTCAACAGACTTATCCCCTATAATTTTTGCACTCTCTTTTATCCCCTTTGCCTTTATACAAAGGAACTATGCATGCTCTCTGCCAACCCCTAGGTACCTTACCCTCTTCCATACATTTATTAAATAATTGCACCAACCACTCCAAAACTATATCCCCACCTGCTTTTAACATTTCTATCTTTATCCCATCAATCCCGGCTGCCTTACCCCTTTCATTTTTACCTACTGCCTCACGAACTTCCCCCACACTCACAACTGGCTCTTCCTCACTCCTACAAGATGTTATTCCTCCTTGCCCTATACACGAAATCACAGCTTCCCTATCTTCATCAACATTTAACAAAATTTCCCCAAAATATTCCCTCCATCTTCCCAAAACCTCTAACTCTCCATTTAATAACTCTCCTCTCCTATTTTTAACTGACAAATCCATTTGTTCTCTAGGCTTCCTTAACTTGTTAATCTCACTCCAAAACTTTTTCTTATTTTCAACAAAATTTGTTGATAACAGCCACCCACTCTCTCATTTGCTCTCTTTTTACATTGCTTCACCACTCTCTTAACCTCTCTCTTTTTCTCCATATACTCTTCCCCCCTTGCATCACTTCTACTTTGTAAAAACTTCTCATATGCTAACTTTTTCTCCCTTACTACTCTCTTTACATCATCATTCCACCAATCGCTCCTCTTCCCTCCTGCACCCACTTTCCTGTAACCACAAACTTCTGCTGAACACTCTAACACTACATTTTTAAACCTACCCCATTCCTCTTCGACCCCATTGCCTATGCTCTCATTAAGCCCATTATCCCCCAAAAAGCTGTTTATATCTTACCCTAACTGCCTCCTCTTTTAGTTTATAAACCTTCACCCCTCTCTTCCCTGATGCTTCTATTCTCCTTGTATCCCATCTACCTTTTACTCTCAGTGTAGCTACAACTAGAAGTGATCTGATATTCTGTGGCCCCTCGATAAACATGTACATCTGAAGTCTACTCAACAGTCTTTTATCTACTAATACATAATCCAACAAACTATGTCTTTCGCCCTACATCAATGTGTAATTTTTTATCCTCTTTTTTTAAAAAATAGTATTCCCTTAAAAAAAACCCCTTTCTATAAAAAATTCAATCAAAGGGCCCCCATTATCATTTACATGGCCCCCCAAAATTTACCTACCACACCCTCTCTAAAAGTTTCCCCACTTTAGCTTGGCCCCCTCCAAATTATTTCCATTTGTTCAAAGGCCCCATACTTCATTTAACATCTCCAAAATCTTCTCTTCCCCTGCATTCCTTTTCTCCAGGTGCATACCCCCTTTTATGACCCACTTCCCCATCCAACCTTTAC